CAAATGCTAGCCCAACCACGCAGTGGAAAACAATGTGGTGACCTCAAGGATCAGAACTAGAAATACCATTTTGATCCCAGCTATCCATTACTGGGGATATACCCAAAGGATTATATAATCATGCTGCTATAAAGACACATGCCCACGATTCATTGTGGCACTATTCACAATAATAGCAAAGACTTGAATCAACCTAAATATCCATCAGTGACAGACTGGATTAAGAAAATGTGGCACATACACACCATGGAATACGATGCAGCCATAAAAAAGGATGAGTTTGTGTCCCTTTCTTTGTAGGACACATGGATGCAGCTGAAACCATCATTCTCAGCAAATTATCATGCAAGAAATAGAAATCAGACACCGCATGTTCTCACTCATAGGTAAACCTGAACAATGAGATCACTTGGGAAGGCCAGGGGAACATCACACACCCACAGGGCCTATTGCGGGAGGGAAGATAGCATTAGGGAGATATACCTAATGTAAATGATGAGTTAGGTGAGTGCAGCACACCAACATAGCACATGTTTACATATGTAACAAACTTGCACATTGTGCACATGTACCCTAGAACTTAAAGTATAATAATAAAATGCCTACTGTAATCTATAGACTGGATAAAGAAAATGCAATGCATACACAATATAATACCATGCAGCCATAAAAAAGAACAAGATCGGGCGTCCTTTCTTTTTGCAGGAACATGGATGGAGCTGGAGGGTGTTATTATCCTTAGCAAACTAATGCAGGAAGAGAAAACGAATACCACACACATATATTCTCACTTACAAATGGGAGATAAATGATGAGAACACATGGACACAGAAGGAAACAACAGGCACTGGGGCTTATTGAAGGCTGAAGGGTGAGAGGATGGAGATGATTATGGTGAAAAAATAACTAATGCACTCTAGGCTAATACCTGGATGATGAAATAATCTTGTACAACAAACCCGCAGATGACACAAGTTTACCTATAACAAAACTGCACATGTAAATTCTGAATTTAAACTTAAATAAAAAATAAAGAAAGCAAGTTGATACTATTTATCATAATATTTCCTACAAGTAAATAAAGGAAAAGCTAAAAAGGCCAACCAAAGATATAATGAAATATTATTTTTTTGGCCATAAAAATAACTGAATTACTGCTGCATGTTACCATGGGGATGAACCTGTTAAACCTTATGCTAAATGGAAGAAGCCAGTCACAAAGACTCTCCTACTGTTTGATTTCTATTTATATGAAATGTCCAGAACAGCTGAATCTATAGAGACAGAAAGATTAGTGGCTGTGCCTGGGGTCATGGTGTGGAGAGGTTTGGGGGTTGGGATAGTGGGAAGTGATTACTAAACAGAGTTTTTCTGGGGTGATGAGAATGTTCTAAAATTGATTCTGGTGATGGTTGCACAACCCAGTGAATATACTAAAGCATCAGTTCCACACTTTAAATGAGTGAATTGTGTCATAGGTGACATCATCTCCGGTCAAAAATTGTTATTATAAAGATAAAAAAAGATAAAACTATGGGTTCTAAGACATCCCATGACAGAGAGATATTTGCCAGAAAACATGCTTGAAGTACCAAGATCAGACTACTCACTATCCTAAATGTCCCAGGCATCTGGAACCTAACATAATGCAAAACTGAACTCACAATAGCACGCTCTTCCACGCTTACCAAATCAACAAATAGTCTCATTCACAAGTTACGACCCCAAATTCAGAGTAACTCCTTGTGCTCTTTTCCCTTAAAATCACATTCAAACAACAGCAGGCCCTGTTTTTCCAAGCAAATAAAATCTGAAGACTTCTTTCCCACTTCCACTCTGGTCAGCCTTCTCCTTGCCACACTCACTCTTTAGTTTCTCAGGCCTCTAACTGTGGGTCTTCCTGCTTCCTCTTGAGCCCTCACTCACCCCCAGTTAACTCTCCACAATAACAGAGGATCTTTTAAAATTATAAAGTAGACCCTATCATTACCCTGTTCCAGCCCTTGTGTTGCTTCTCATGAGATACCTAGAATGAAATTCTTTGATTACGGACTGCAGGGCCTGACATAATCTGGCTCTTGTCACTCTGGCCCTACCTCTGCCTCCTTCTTTCTAGCCTGGCTGGCTGTTTTGGTATCCCACAGCAGGGGGCCTGCATGTTGTACTTCTGTTCCTTTTACTGAAGCACACAGTCCCCTTTGTAATACCATCTTTTTAGTCTGTTACTTTCTTATTTTTCTCCATGAATTATCTGCCTGACATTTACACGTATGTTTACTTGCTGTTATTTGCCTGTTTTATCTCAACATATAACTCCCCTTAAGTGCAAAGACTGCCCCGCTCATGGCTAGGTTTCCAGTGCTTAGATAATGCCTGGCTTGTAATAGGCCAATATATATTTGAATACATATATTTATTAAATGCATTAATATCTTTGAAGACTTTTTCTTTTTTTTCTTTTAGTGTTTGACTTGTTCAATGCTGTTAGGTTTCTTATTTTTTAGTCTTCAGATTGCTCTAGTTCTATTTCTCTGGGCTGAATTCAATTTGTTGGGGCTTGTGAGGTATCACTCACATGGTGCTGATTTCACATAGATTTCATAAGTTTTAGTAGTTACTTATTCCTTAAAGGCTACTTATTCCTTGGGGGCTAGCTTTCATGGATATTCTATGATATAAATACCCTGGATTGTGGATCTCTTCTTGCTGGCTATCATCCTAACTTCCTGGGTACACTGTGACTGAACCAGATCTCAGTTGTATTGACTTGGAATATTATGCACACTGCATGGGTAGCACACCTCCAGCAGGGCTCTGCGCCCTGGACAGATCTAACTCTGGACCTGTGTGGGTGGCTCTGTTTTCATGCTTGGGGCAGATGGGTGAAGATATTTTGGCTTCTCTGCATGGGGAGGCAGTATATTTTCTGCTACTGGCTTTACTCAGAGGGGCCTAATTTCAGTTTTCTGCATGCTGGATCTTGAGGCTTTTGCTGTCATTTGGGAGCAGATGTTGAAACCCTACCTTTGCTCCTGAGGCAAAGCTGCCACCTCTATTTTTTCATCCCCTCACCATTCCCATCAAGAGCTTAACTTTAGCTTCTTCTTACAATGTGTTCCTATATTCAATTTCTGCTCCTTGGAAATCATTCTTACCCACCTTTCTTATGCTTAAGCTTGGCTGTATATTTTTCATTTAAAGATATTGCCAGGTAACACTTTTTAAATGTTCATTTTAAATTCACGACTACCTGTGCGAGTTTGTTATTTAGGTAAACTTGTGTCGTGGGGGTTTGTTGTACAGATTATTTTGCTACCCAGATATTAAATCTAGTTATTTTTTCCTGATCCTCTCCTGCTCCCACCCTCCACCCTCTGACAGGCCCCAGTGTCTATTTTTCCCCTCTGTGTGTCCATGTGTTCTCATCATTTAGCTCCCATTTATAAATAAGAACACGCGGTATCTGGTTTTCTGTTCCTGCATTAGTTTGCTAAGGGCAATGGCCTCTAGCTCCATCCGTGTTCCGGCAAAGGACATGATCTCATTCTTTTTTTGGCTGCATAGTATTCCATGGTGTATATGTATCACATTTTCTTTATTCAGTCTACCATTGATGGGCATTTAGGTTGATTCCATGTATTTGCTATTGTGAATAGTTCTGTGTTTAACGTAACCATGCATGTGTCTTTATGATAGAATGGTTTATATTCCTTTGAGTCTATACCCAGTAATGGGATTGGCCAGCCAACACTTAGCTATCCAAAAAGCAGGTGGTATAATCCCTAGTTACTTTGGCATGCTTTTTTTTCATCCTCTCTACTAGGATGATATATAGGATCCAAGACCCTATATATCTACTGGGTCTTGGATTTTTACATCTTTTTCCTGCCCATACTCTCTGATGACTTCTCTGAAAAGGACACTATGCATTCTCTTTGGATTTTGGCTTGTAATTTCTAGCTGTGAGACCAATAATCCCTTCTCCTGACCTCAGGTGGGCCTTGGTCCCTGTACCCAATTATAGGGTCTATGCCCAAACATGGGCATATGGATTTTGCAGCCTCATCCCTGGGTCGGAGCCACTGTCTCTGTATTTTCATCTGTGCAGTGAGAATACTTAGCCAATCAGCCTCTTTGCTCAGACTTCAGAAAGATGTGTGGATGAGGACTTTGGAGAGACACTGGCTACTTCCGTGTGAATAGCTCCGATTCTCCTCTCTCAAATACCAATGCCTTTGTCCTAACATTATTGAAATGAGTAAAATGTTATTATGAAAACTATATCCAGAATGTGTTTAGATGGAACTAGAGGGGAGTATGTAAGTATGTTTGCAATCTGTTAGAGTAACCCAGATGTCTGTCATGTTTAAAGCTTGGAAAATTTTACCTACTCTCTGGATTAAGTGAGATGCTTTGACAACTCTGGATGTGAATTCTTGCATGAAGAGGTTGGCTGGAGCAGGGCAACAGCTACCCTCTTCAGACTGTATGTGTCCTCCCAGTTTTACACAGTTCCCAGGAGACGCACCTCATCTCGCTCATTTACTGACCTGCCTGGGCTCTTTTGGCATCTGCGTGTTTAACCTTGACAGGAACTTTGGGTTTTAATATTAATGTGATATAATTTCAGGTTGAGGAATCCGAGCGATGTTGGGTTTGCTTAAATCATTTGTAACTGAGATATGAGAACCAGATTTGCATTTTGGAAAACCAAGACATAGTGTAAAAGGTGGTTTCATGAATTCTATATTAAATATCATCATTGTCAGTGCTTGATCTGGTTTAAATATTGAGTCACTGTTCATATGTGTTACCTTGGAAGCTGAGTTTATAATGGGAAATACTACAGTTACAAATCAAAAAGGCTGACTTGCAGTCCTAATCTTGAAGACTTTGGGTTATGTAGAAGCAAATGAATATGAGAAATATGAGGCATTTAGAAATAGAAACATCTAAGATAAGTCTCCACATATGACCAGCTGAGAGGTAAAGGTACCTACTTGCGGTTCTCTGTGAAATTACTGAAAAATAAGCAAACAAAAATCCACTTAATTTTTCTCAAATAGAAAACACATAGTATTATCTAATATATTTTGCTGGAGTCTGTGAGGGGAGGACTTGGGTGAGTAATGAAGGAGGTATTCCAAACCACCCTATAGATCATTTGGTTTTAGATTCGTTTTATAATGCAAAACTAGATGTAAGATTTAACAGTGATGATGTAATGATGAAATCAAAGGTAGAGTTTCCTTAAAGGCTCTCTTCATTTATTGGACCTGAATAGCTTTGGACATAGTGTTGGGAAAAGATCACTGGATCCTTGCACTATAATGTTTGAAAGAACACTGAAGGTTTCTCTCCATTTAGACATCATTTTGGATTTCATCTCTCTTTCTCTCTTTCTCTCTCCACCCCCCTGAAAATTCCTCCTACTTGTTATTTCCTAGTATTGTTCAGTTTATTTTTGATGAACGCTAGCTTACTCCCGCTTTTAATTAGTGTTTTAAAAAAATTATAGGGCAAGCAGGGTAATAAGGAAGCAAGAGAAGAATGGGAAACTCAAATCACTTTGACAGAAGTGAAATGAAGGGGACCATAGAGAACCAAAGAAGAAAAAGAGATGTTATACTTACTTATGGGTGCCACGGGTGGACCTAAAAACCAAATTAGATATCAGTGAAGATTTCTTTGAAGGAAACAAGGTTCCCTCTAGGGAGGTGTATTTGTGTAGAGGAGAATCTTGGACACCGTTCTGGGTCCGAATTATGATTCTATGACTAAGTATTCTTGAGTAAATATTTGGCTCAGTTTCTTATCTCTTACAAAGGGGTTAGTGGAATTATTCTGAGGATTAAATGAGATAATGTAATTAAAGCACTTAAATAGTTCTAGAGGAGATACAAACTAAATATATGTTTGAAACTATGTAAATATAACTTCCTTCTCAGGGAGAAGCTGGATGAGCAGAAGGCAGAGGAAACTGGAAGCTTTGAGTCAGGCAGCTGCACACACAGTTAGAAATGAGCAGGGTAGAGACAGGTCTCTAAGCCTTGCAGGGAACAACAAGAACAACAACAGAAAACAGTAGAAAAAGAAAGTGAACTTACCGCAGGGTGCTGAAGGTGGACCAGCTGAAAAACAGAGAGGTATCTTAGCAACTGTTTTTCCTCCATGATATTTTCCTTTCTATGTAGAGAGTTTCTTCTTGTTAGGTCATTATAACAATAGGGAAAACTTTCCCTTTGGTATTCATTTACTTTTAATATGAATCAGCACAATGTGAACTTTCAGAAAATCATCAGTAACTTCATGGAATGTTGATGATGGGAAGGTAAATGGTTAAAGTAGTATGCACCCCAAACCCGGAAATCTTACCCGTACCAGGGAAAGGAGAGATTCTAGAATCCTGCAGTGCTGAAAACATGGACTTACTGATAGCAAGTGAAATGAATCCAGCTTGTAAATAGACCAGAGAAAATTATCTCCTTTTGCTTTCCCCTTTGCTCAAATTGTCTTTCAATTTGTTAAGTCCCTTGTAATATATCATTTTGACCTGCTGATAAACTTTCTCCCCTGCTCTTTATTTTTTAATAAAATAGTAAGTTTGATTTTTTCCATAGAGTTATTTAAAAGGTGAGAGAATGATGTGTCACGTGAAAGCAAAACATGGAGGAAATGCCCTATAATTTTTTAAAGTTGTTATTTACAGTTTAGGCTTAAATCCTCTGAAGTCTCTAAAAGATGATACAAAATTTTCTTAGATGTTTTGGAATTTAAGTGTGGAAAAAGAGACCAGATTCAGCAGGAGGGTCGAATGAAAAAGGGTTGTAGAAACTTCTTATCTACTCCTTTCTCTCCTACCATTTTTTCCCTTTTTAAGATCGTCTCTCTCTCTCTCTCTCTTTTTTTTTATTATACTTTAAGTTCTAGGGTACATGTGCACAACGTGCAGGTTTGTTACATATGTATACATGTGCCATGTTGGTGTGCTGCACCCATTAACTCATCATTTACATTAGGTATATCTCCTAATGCTATCCCTCCCCTCTTCCCTCTCCCCACAATAGGCCCCAGAGTGTGATGTTCCCCTTCCTGTGTCCAAGTGATCTCATTGTTCAGTTCCCACCTATGAGTGAGAACATGTGGTGTTTGGTAAGATAGTCTCTTGTTGATGGGCTTTGAAATTTTGTAAAATTTTTTTCTCTGCTCTGACTTATCTCTTCCCTTTTTGCAGTGACTGATAACTGCTTGAAATCCTGCAGGGGATTGTAAATTGGTAGTCTTAAAACTTTCCAGTACATCATTAATAATCTAGAGAGGTTTTGATAATGAGACAACAAGGGGCCAAGATGTATCTCAAGCCCTTTGTATCCCAATATGGTCAGATAAAGACTCTTGGGCTCCCCTAGAGACCAACTGAGTCCTAAAGGGGAGAATTAAATGAACACATAGACTTACTGATTGTGTGAGGATGCGATCTGACTGAAAAACAAGCAAAGATATTTTTTGTTACCCCCTTCTTGTTTCTTTTCTTTTCCTACTCATTTTTTTTTTCTATTGGCAAATTTACTAGTGATATACTTGCTTGAACTGTTTTTGTTTTTGTTTTTTTAAATCGAAGGCACTAGAAATTTCCAGAAAACTAATTATCAGCTGGTTGAATTCTGGACAATGGGAAAACAAAAGGCTGAGAAAATAGAACTTCAAGTTCCATGTTGCATCTCAAGTTCCAATAGGCATCAGTGGACTTTGATAAGTGCACCACAGAGAAACAAATAACTGACTAATTGCCTGTATAGATGACTTATCTAGAAAGCAGAAATGGATCTATATCATTTTACTCTCATTTTTTTTTCCTTCTGCATGGAAAGTTCCTAATTAACATTCTTTAGAGTCATGTAGAAACATTTTTCTCTGTTTATTTTTTATGCAAGTCAGTGAATGTTCTAGAAACTTATTAATAATGTATTTATGCCTTTCTGCCCATGGACGCTATGGAAGAAGCATCGTTAAAGTCTCTCTTCTCCCGGCCGTCTTGTCTAAGTCAGAGTCTCCTAAAGAGCCGGAACAGCTGAGGAAGCTCTTCATTGGAGGATTGAGCTTTGAAACAACTGATGAGAGCCTGAGGAGCCATTTTGAGCAATGAGGAATACTCCTGGACTGTGTGGTCATGAGAGATCCAAACACCAATCGCTCCAGGGACTTTGGGTTTATCACATATGCCACTGTGGAGGAGGTAGATGCAGCCATGAATGCAAGGCCATACAAGGTGGATGGAAGAGTTGTGGAACCAAAGAGAACTGTCACAAGAGAAGATTCTCAAAGACCAGGTGCCCACTTAACTGTGATAAAGATGTTTGTTGGTGGCCTTAAAGAAGACACTGAAGAGCATCAACTGAGAGATGATTTCGAACAGTTTGGAAAAATTGAAGTGATTGAAATCATGACTGACTGAGGTGGTGGCAAGAAAAGGGGCTTTGCCTTTGTAACCTCTGATGACTATGACTCCATGGATAAGACTGTCATTCAGAAATACCATACTATGAATAGCCACAACTGTGAAGTTAGAAAATCCCTGTCAAAGCGAGAGATGGCTAGTGCTCCATCCAGCCAAAGAGGTCGAAGTGGTTCTGGAAACTTTGGTGGTGGTTGTGGAGGTGGTTTTGGTGGGAATGACAACTTTGGTCATGGAGGAAACTTTAGTGGTCGTGGTGGATTTGATGGCAGCCATGGTGGTGGTGGATATAGTGGCAGTGGGGATGGATATAATGGATTTGGTAATGATGGAAGCAATTTTGGAGGTGGTGGAAGCTACAATGATTTTGGCAATTACAACAATCAGCCTTCAAATTTTGGACCCGCAAAGGGAGGAAACTTTGGAGGCAGAAGCTCTGGCCCCTATGGTGGTGGATGCCAATACTTTGCAAAACCATGAAGCCAGAGTGGTTATGGTGGTTCCAGTAGCAGCAGTAGCTATGGCAGTGGCAGAAGATTTTAATTAGGAAACAAAGCTTAGTAGGAGAGGAGATCCAGAGAAGTTACAGGGAAGCTATAGGTTACAACAGATTTGTGAATTCAGCCAAGCACAATGGTGGCAGGGTCTAGCTGGTACAAAGAAGACATGTTTTAGACAAATACTCATGTGTATGGGCAAAAAACTCAAGGACCATATTTGTGATTAATTGTATAACAGGTTATTTTAGTTTCCATTCTATGGAAAGTGTAAAGCAATCCAACAAAGGGTTTTGATGTAGATTTTTTTTTTTTTTTTTTTTTGCACCCATGCTGTTGATTGCTAAATGTAATAGTCTGATTGTGATGCTGAAAAAAAAATAATGTATTTGTGTTCTGGGTAATGGAAAAATAAGGGACCAAGGAAATTGGAAGTTTATCGTATCACAATGTGAATGCATACATTTTGGCTTAAGATATGTTAGACACTGCTGGAGACAATTGAGTTTCAATCATGAAGGGAAATAGTCAAACTCACAAGAAGATCCAATAGCTGAAAAAGAGATAAATCGATGTGTACAGGCTGCTGAAAGAGGAGCTAGTTTTTGTACTACTTTCCTGAAAGGAAATATCAGAAATGGCAATGGAAGAAACATCCTTCTTAGGGCAGAGGCATAGAGCTCTGTGCTGGGGAATATACCTGCCATGATGCCTTGTGGAGATTCTGCCTTCTGCTTAGTATAGGAGGCTGTAGGAAAGGGAGATGATTTATCTCTTCCCTTTTTGCAGTGAGTGGTTACTGCTGGAAATCCTGCAGGGGATTGGTAATTTCTTTAAACTGTGCTGCCTTTACCTTTCTTCTCCCTATTTCTGCCATTCTGTGAAAGCTTTCCTTTATTCATACAAATATCCTTCCCTTCCGTTGTTGGCAAGTCACTATAAATTTAGGGTAGTTTCTGAAGTATATCTCTCTATTTTGGGTTGATCAGTGGGTTTGGGATTCTCCTTTATTCATTCCTTTTAGGGGTGGAGCAGCAGCTAAATAGTGGAATAAGCAAAAGAGATGAAGGAATATGAGTTTCTACACACACAAGACAGAAATGAACAGAGAGGAAAAGTATGCTAGGCCCTATAATAGGCATGGGACTTAACCAGTCATTACTGAAGTTTCAGCTGGTGGTAAGAAACAGAAGGAACACACAATGGAGAAATCAACATGTGTAGAACCAAGTGAATTCAGTTCTCCCTTGATAGGCTTAAACAGGGTAACTGCAGAGAGGATATGGGGGGCACTAAGATCTGACAGCTCAGTGCATGTCCAGTCTTACGTGCCTTACTTTGTGCTTTGTAGCCTCAGACCTGTTTCTGCTGGTCTGAGGCAGGAGCTTAGTTATAAAGTGATACAGTGAGGCTTTATTCTTCCTTCTTATTTCACTCAGCGACAGTAAATGCTTGAAACACTTCTAGAGGTTCATAATGTCTTAAACTTGTACTTATATGTACTTTTGTCAGTCTCCTTTTCTTTTTCGTTTATTTTCTTTCTTTTTTTTTTTTTTTCTTTTTGAGGCAGAATCTTGCTCTGTTACCCAGGCTGGAGTGTAGTGGCATGGCCTTGGCTCACTGCAACCTCTGCCTTCCGGGTTCAAGCGATTACAGGTGCCTGCCGCCAAGTCTGGCTAATTTTTGTAGTTTGTTTTTTTTTTTTTTGAGACGGAGTCTTGCTCTGTCACCCAGGCTGGAGTGCAGTGGCGTGATCTCGGCTCACTGCAAGCTCTGCCTCCTGGGTTCATGCCATTCTCCTGCCTCAGGCTTCCAAGTAGCTAGGACTACAGGCACCCGCCACCACAACTGGCTAATTTTTATTTTATTTTATTTTTTATTTTTAGTAGAGATGGGGTTTCACCATGTTAGCCAGGATGGTCTTGATCTCCTGACCTCGTGATCTGCCCGCCTTGGCCTCCTAAACTGCTGGTATTACAGGCGTGAGCTACTGCACCCGGCCTAAGTTTTATATTTTTAATAGAGACACAGTTTCATCATGTTGGCTAGGCTGGTCTTGTAAGTGATCTGGCCCATGGGGCCTCCCAAAGTGTTGGGATTACAGGCGTGAGCCACTGTGCCCAGCATCTTTTTTTTTTTGAGATGGAGTCTTACTCTGTTGCCCAGGCTGGAGTGCAGTGACACTATCTCGGCCTACTGTAACCTCCACCTCCTGAGTTCAAGCGATTCTCCTGCCTCAGCCTCCTGAGTAGCTGGGATTACAGGCGTGCGACACCACTCCCGGCCAATTTTTGTGTTTTTGGTAGAGACGAAATTTCATCATGTTGGCCAGGCTGGTCTTGAACTTCTGACCCCAAGTGATCCACCTTCCTCGGCCTCCCAAAGTGCTAGGATTACAGGAGTGAGTCACTGTGCCTGGCCAAATTTTTGTATTTTTAGTAGAGACAGGGTTTCACCACGTTGGTCAGGCGGGTTTCAAACTCCTGACCTCATGATACACTTGCCTCGGGCTCCCAAAGCACTGGGATTACAGGCATGAGCCACTGTGCCCAGCCCCGATCTCATTTTCTTTAGTCACTCTTTTTTACCTAACCTTTTAATTAATTAATTATATTTAAGAAGTACAACTACAGATTTCTTATGTGCATATATGGCAAAGTGGTGAAGTCTGGGCTTTTAGTGTACCCATTACCCAAATAGTGAATATTCTACCCAGAATTAACCTTTCAATTGACTTGAAAAGTTTTCTTCCTACTCTCTTTACTAGGGCTGTTGGGAACCACTAATTTTTGTTAAAGTCATTTAAATTTTAATCAATTCATTTTGCACTTTCTCCAAATCACTTATAACTTAGGGAAAAGCTAGGAAGGAATAAAATAGCAATATAATTTTCATTTCTACACTATCATATTTTTAAAGTGTTTACACATAGGAGAGAGGGAGTCAAGCAGGGGAGAAAAGGGAAAGAGAATTCATGTATCCGTGTAGATTATCTGGCACATGGTGGCTATTAGGGAACTTTGGACCACATGTGACCCTTCCTTTAGCCCCAGTGAGATCCTCTGAGGTGGGCTGGCTTATGTTTATCCTCTGAGTAATAATTATGAGAACTTCCAAGGCTATAAGTCTTGGCAATATCTGTGAGTACTGAGAAAATCAGTCTTGATTCAGGGGAATAGTCAATAACAAATGGCTCTTATTCATGCACAAAAAGGATAGTTAGAACCAGAATTTAGGGCAGTAAATATCCAGTTTTAATGGTCATAGTATGATTGTGTGGGATGCTGCCTGCCCTCTACACATTTTGGGTTTGTTTTCCCAAGTGATCTTATAGGACTGTAAACTCCATGGCACCAGAGACCAACCACATCTCTCTCTTCCTTATTCATGACTTTATCCTCAGTGCTCAGCTTAGTATCTGATACATGCTAGGAGATCAGCTAGATGAAGGAATGTTTGTTTGAATATATGTGACTTGCCTTCTGATAATCCTTCCTGCTTGACTTAAACTTTCTAATGCTACCCCTTTATTTCTAGACTCAGAATTTCCCATGTCCTGGGGTTGGTTTGATTCCCTATATTTTAACACCGGTTTCTCCCTAGTTCGTCACAATATGGACTTTCACTTTATTCTTTTCCATATGTGATGCTTCTGCCAGTTCCTGTAATTACAGCCCAATTACTGTCATTTCGTGTTCCACGAGGTGCTCTGTCCTTTCTTTCCCTCTCTGTCATGTGTGTGTGTTTGCGTATGCGTGCACGTGTGTTGGGGATGAAAGGTGTTTGGAGATAGAGAACAGGATAGGACATGAGGAAAGAGAAAGGCCTTTGGAGAGAAGACTGGATAACTCAGGTTAGACTAGACCCAGAATAGTATTTCCTGTAAATTTTTATTGTCTTTTCTCCCTTTTGTATTTATTCTTAAAATTTGATTTTCTTTTCTCATTTCCTCCTCATTGTCTCCATTATCTTTGAGTAGGCCCTTTAGAAACTACAAAGCACTTCAGAACTGGAAAGCTGCCCTTATTATTCTCTGCTACTTTAGAAAATTCTTCTGTATTGTTATAGAAGACATTATGACTATTTCTGGGGAAATTTTCTTACTCTTTTTCTTTAAAAAAAAATAGCCCTGGAGAATTCTCAGTAGGTTGCAACCAGGAAGCATAAAAACATGCGTAAAACAACTGCTCTTATGGCAGTAAGACACATCTAGGGCATTTCAGACAGGGAACAGGCCCTCTAGACACTGTAGAAGATCAAGGAACCTGGAGGGAGAAGGATAGATAAGGTACTTACCATTGGGTCCAGGATATTGTACTAAAAAATAGAAACAAACAAATTAAACACATATATACACACACACACACACACTTATATTTTTTGAGACAGAGTCTCACTCTGTCGCCCAGGCTGGAGTGCGGTGGGGTGATCTTGGCTCACTACAACCTCCACCTTCTGGGTTCAAGTGATTCTCGTGCCTCAGCCTCCTGAGTAGCAGGGATGACAGGTGCCTGGCACTGTGCCTGGCTATTTTTTGTATTTTTAATAGAGATGAGGTTTCGCCATGTTGGCCAGGCTGGTCTTGAACTCCTGACCTCAGGTGATCCACCCACCTTGGCCTCCCAAAGTGCTGGGATTACAGGTGTGAGCCACCGTGCCTGGCCCAAAAATACCTCTATTAGTGCTGTTTTCCAAAGGCAAGCCAGTGAAAATGATTTTCTCAGGAATTACTAAATCTCATTATTCAGGATTAAATATTTTTCATTGCACTACTGCTGTACTGTAGCCTCTCCATAAGAACCAGATCTTCTTCTAGGAGATTATTAACCCTGTTTTAGTTAGCATAACCACTTCATTCTTGCTTTTCATTATAGGTGTTAGAGGTGAGATCCTTAATTGTATTCCTTTCCCCATATTCCCCCAGTCTTTTTTCCTCACATCACTGTTTCACTCTCAGCTATCTTTCTTTTATATTCTTGTTCATTTCTTATATTCTTTTCCAGATTCGATTACACCTTTGCCTTAGGAAGCTATTCTAATGATTATTGACAAGCCACTATAATCATTATTAGAACTATGCCTGTCTGTTATGAATTTTAAGGTAATGGAATTTCCATTTGCTAAAATATAATTGGTTGCCCAGAGAGATGTTAGTGTTAACCCAAACTGCACCATTTTGTAAGCCTCCAGCTATTTTGAAGATCTTGGTCAAAGTGAAACATTCCAGGGGGGTTCAGGCTATGAGAAACATTCTGCCTAACCACCTGACTACAAAGTGGACAAAGGGCCAACTAAAGAAACCTCCCTATCATATTCTGCTGGGAGAAAGTGCAAGGAACACCACATTCTGCAGAAACAAGGACCAGAACCCCCTTATCATGGGAACATCTTATCAATATCCTGCCAGGCAGCAAGCCATACTACCCAGACCCCTCCCACCCATACCTATAAGTATCCCCATCCTGTAAGCAGCGGTGGACACTGGCATTAGGCTAGTTCTCCGCTTCTGTAGGCCTTATGCTGGACACAAAGCCTGCATTTGCTGTAGAGCCACCACTCTCTCTGTGTCTTTCTTTAACCCTTGCCTTCCCTCCAAAACCTAACAGTTAGGATACGGGGAAATGAAAGTCTAAGACATACGATTTTTAGATTATTTAACCCAGATACTTAAACAGTTGGGGCCAGTCTCCTTCAGACATAGTAAGAAACCAATAGAGATAAGTTGATATATACAGGCAGCTTACCAATAGGTCCTGGAGTTTGCACTAAAAAGAAGTTCAAATTGGCATATTAGTATGGTTATTTGACTGGGGAGTATATTTTTCACTAATTTTATCCTAGAAGTGAGGCTTTGAGAGGTAGAGCAGGGGAGAAGAAGTGATATCAGTTATGAGATCATTAGGGAGAATTAATCCAACTATGTTAACTATAGAAAAAAGGAAAAAGGATATTTAGCATTTACTGCAGTATTGCAGCCCAAGGTGAAGGTTTTTGTAGGATTCTTGCCAACCTAAGAGATACCAGGGAAAGGTGAAACTTTGTTATTAGGTATTAACATTACTGATAGTAGGGAAAGGTGAAACACTTCCTGTCAGTAGTAGTAGAAAATATTTCTTTCCCAAGGGACTGTTCTTTCACTAAAATCTTTACTTCTGATCAACTAATATGTTCCAGAGGTAGACATCAGAATAGGAGGTAAGAATCCATTTCCTCTTCGCACAGATTCCAGCTTATTGGAAAGTGATAGAGCAGTGACTGCTGCTTTGATTAGCTTTAGAGTCTGTGAGCAAAGAGTCAACAAAACCTTCTGTTTTTTTTTTTTTTTTTTTGAGACAAGGTCTCACTCTGTCACCCAGGCTGGAGTGCAGTGGTGCAATTATAGCTCACTATAGTCTCCACCTCCTGGGCTCAAGTGATCTTCCCACCTCAGTCTCCTGAGTAGCTAGGACTACAGCTGCATGCCACTATGCCTGGCTAATTTAAAAAAATTTTTTTGTAGAGATGGGGTCTTGCTCTGTTGTTGCTCAGGCTGGTCTTGAACTCCTGGTCTCAAGTGATCCTCCTGCCTTAGCCTCCCAAAGTGCAGGGATTACAGGTGTGAGCCCATGCCTGGCGAAAACCTTCAGTTTTTAATGAGAATTTGGCCTTCAGTTGGTTTTCTAGCTCTGATCACCTGATGACCTGATAAATATCGAAAGCCTGTTATATTTATTTATTAATTTTTTTGAGACGGAGTCTCACTATGTTGCCCAGGTTGGAGTGCAATGGCATGATCTTGGCTCCCTACAACCGCTACCCCCTGGGTTCAAGCGATTCTCCTACCTCAGCCTCCTGAGTAGCTGGGACTGTAGGCGCACACCCAGCTAATTTTTGTGTATTTTTTAAGTAGAGATGGGATTTCACCATATTGGCCAGGCTGATCTTAAACTTCTGACCTTGTGATTCGCTGGTCTTGGCCTCCCAAAGTGCTGGGATTACCACGCCCGGCCAAAAGCCTGTTATGTTATTTAGCAACACTGCTTGCATAAGAATGATCCTTGATGTCAGACTGCATCTGAACTTGGAGAACTGTAAATATGTATTAAGAAGCCATAACTTTGGGCTTCCCTGAGTGCAGTGACCCATGTATTTGGTCATATTCCTTGCGGGATCCCTGCAGGTAATGTGTATGGGGTTCTTATAGGAGATTTTAGTTCCTGGTAGACCTGTGGGGTTTCTAAGCCAGGTCAGCTCCCAACTCATCTAACAGAAGGCCAAGCAGAATAGGTCCTAGGTGGCTATGTGGACACCTGCATAGATCATGGCGAGTACTGCTCCCACAGCAGAGGGATAGCTGATAACGCCCTTGCTGGCAAGCTGTGCGTCCTGCCTTGGGTCCTACTGAGTAGACTGGTGCCAGATGAGAGCTATGGTAATCTTGTAAGTCTGCAAGGTTAGTAGAATCTGAAAGGACCATATCCTCACCCAGTGGGCATAGCAGTTAATAATCCTTCACTTCAGTGTCACTCAGGATGAGAAACATCCAAGTTTTGATCAATAATCCCCGAACTTGTAACTCTGAATTTTTTTTTTCTGTGTAAAACACCTAGAAGGTGGCTTTCCAGATCTGGATACCCTTGGCTATGAGCAGTAGACCAGTTATACGTTTAGATATTATGCTAATAGTTGCTTTGTCTGTATCTACAAATATGTATCTTTGATTCTGAAGTAGAACTCTTAGGAAACCTGCCCTCTTGACATAAGTTACTAAATCCTTGGATAGGTGATCACTTCAAAATGTATTTTGTTTCTTCGGTTTTTCTATATTTTCTTCCCATTTCTAGTTTCAATTTGTGACTTCTTGTACCTTTATTTTTATTCTCTTTCTCAACATATTCATTTCTCTTCTTTATTCTCTTATGTGCCAATTCACTTACCCTTTCTCCTTCCAATTTTCTTCCTACTTTTGTTCTTTTTAAATTTTCTCCTATTTATCTCTCTCTAACCTGCATCTTCATTCTTTATCTGTTACTATTTGTGTTACTCATTCTCTCACTTTATCTCCTCTAGGCCTTTCTTACTTTTTAATCTCAACGTTAGAAGTTCATTTTATTCACTGTTAATAACCTGTTATAACACCCAAAAATGGAAAGATAGTGGAAAGAATGAAGAGTTAGTAAAACTTTAGTCTTAATTTTATTAACTAACCCATCCTCTTATTTTTTTGAGAAATGACTCCTGGCCCTCAGTTTCCTCATTTCTAAATATGAGGATAATAACTGCCTTACCCACTGCCATTTGATGTTGTTTAGATGCAACAAAGTAATGTACACGAGTGTTAGAAAAACAGTAGTAAGACATTATAGGGATCACTCAAAGAATGTGACTACGTTGCTAAAAGTTGCTGAAAATAGAGCCTAACTCTTCTGGAGAGAACTTTTCAGGGCAATTAGAAAGGAAAGAAAGGCCGGGCGCGGTGGCTTAAGCCTGTAATCCCAACACTTTCGGAGGCCAAGGCGGGCGGATCACGAGGTCAGGAGATCGAGATCATCCTGGCTAACACAGTGAAACCCCATCTTTGCTAAAAATACAAAAAAATTAGCCGGGCTTGGTGACGGGCACCTGTAGTCCCAGCTACTCAGGAGGCTGAGACAGGAGAATGACCTGAACACGGGAGGCAGAGCTTGCAGTGAGCGGAGATCACGCCACTGCACTCCAGCCTGGGCCACAGAGCTAGACTCTGTCCCCCCACCCAAAAAAAATAAAAAAAGAAAGAAAGAAAACTTAAAATTTGCATTATTTTACAAAGTGAAGATTATCTAATAATGGAAAAATCATTTGCGTGGAAAGCAAAGCAGGAAGTTTAGGTGCTGGGTTCTAAATCTTTATTACATATTGGCTCTACAGAGCTAGATTATATGCTGAAGTGGAAACAGCTTAGGACCATCTCTAGCGGGATATTTTTCACTTTGCATTTCAGCTTCATAGTTAATATATGTTTATTGCAAACCCTGGATGAGTCCAACCTGCAGGAGCACTGGGTGAAATTATGAGGTGGCAGAAGGACTTGCTCCTTGAGTCCTTGGGCATGAATAATTGAATTAAAAATAGATTGATGTTCTAAGTAAAGTACCAAAAGGTATTATAATTGAGAATCAGATGACTTACCAATGGTTTTGTGAGACAGCTCTAAAGAAAAAAGAGAAAACAAATATATATATATTTTATATATACTTTTTATTTATGTACTTTCATTTATATACTTTCCCCAGTAGGAATCTGAATCACTAATGTCAAGTTCAGCTGCAGCTGAGGTAGTAGAAATGGTGACTTTCTTGCTATGGCAAACTAGTACACATAAGGGCCTCCTCATCTAAAAATCCCTTGTGTGATGGCGAGGAGCCATTGAAAATCTGCAAGGGTTCATCCTCCACTTTGTAGTTTGTTTTTATTGGTGAAGTGTACGTTCACAGAGCTAATCGTGACTTACTGAAATGCTAGGTCGAAGAAAAATAAGAGGTTGAAGAAAATGTAAACTCCAAACCCTTGAAATCCCAACATGGAAACCAGGTAGCGATCCCTAAGATACTGCAGGAAAGTAAAATGCTCACTGTGGAGAATCAGACAGCAAACTTACTGATGGGTCCTGTAGCTCCAGCTGCGACAGAGAGAGAGAGAAGGAGAAAGAAAAAGATATCCGTATGCTTCACCACTGTGAAGGAAATTCCCATTGCCTAACCCTCACTCTAGGGAGTATCATAAACAGAAACAACGGGAAGATCAAGAGTTGCTTGTATGGCGAGCCTCAGGCAGGCTCCCTGTTGCACAATATAAGGGACCTACAGGGATGGAGGCCTCCTCCTGCTTTCAGTGATGGTTGGAAATCTTCAGAGGGTTGGGAAAGACTCGCTCCATATTAATCTGTTATGCCTCTATTTTTCTTCTTACATTTTCTTGCCCCTTGCCCCCAGTTTCCTTAGAGACATAGTTTATTTGAAAGATGTACCTTCCCTTGCTGATGGATCATTATGACTATTACTAAGAGGGCTGTTTTGGTTTATATTTTTAAATGTTAGCCTGTGAGATTTCTTAACACTTCATGGATGGCCTCTTTGGAAACTATGTAACAGGAATGCTAGGGGAATTGAGAAAGACAGTTTTAAGAAAGCATGTCACCCCTAAACCTCAGCATCACACGATATACCCATTAGCAAACCTGCATATGCACCACCTGCATCTAAAATAAAAGTTGAAATTATTTAGAAAAATGCAGAGCAGATCAGGCCCCAAGACCTCGTAGGTCAGATATCAAAGGGACCACAGTGGAAAAACAAACTTGATACTTACGAATAGGGGCTGTGAATTGCACTGAAATACAAAAAGGAGGAAAGTGTGGTTTGACATTAACAGAATTTTCATTTTACCAGTATTGTTTCTAAATAAACTATGAAACAATTCAACCAGAGGAGAACAACTACTGTGGGACTGCAGATAATCTTAGCCTGGAAGCCGCACAACCCTCCTACTAGTTTAAATCATTCAGCATCCATCTTAAATGAGAAATTTAGGTAACTAAAAAATAATAAATATAAATAATTAAAATAAAATACAATTTTAAACATGAATTATGTGGCTTTCCCTTATCCTAAATTCAGTAACAGTTCAGGATATTGTGTCTGATGGTTTGGGTATCAGAAGGTGTCAGAAGATTTGAATACAAAGAAGAAGTATGAGTGAGAAATCCTGTAGGGGTAGAAATGGTAACTGTTAGGATGTAGAGAGGACCCCATATCCCACAGAAGGCCAAAGAACGTTAGAGGAAACAGAAAAGGAACTCACTTATAGGTCTAATAGTTCCAGCTAAAATATGGAAAAAACAAAATAGAACTAATGAGAAAATATTGTTTGCATTAAAATTCTTTCTGGGAAAACATCACAAATGTAGATACCAGGAGCAAAATTTCCACTTCGTGGAGGAACAAATAAAGTTTATAAATGCTTCCTTCTTCATCTTGGAGGACCCCGGTTACTGCTGGAATCTGCCAGCTGGAACTGTAGGGATGCACATTTGGTCAGGCAGGGTTCCTTCCCCTTTCCCGACGGGTGTCCTGCTTTATCTCAGTAGATTACACAAGCCATTGCCTGTCTTCCAGCTGGCTAATTTGAACTTGCTTAGCTAGAATCTATAGCCTCATCTTCTGAAGGAGACAGTGGGAATTTCTGTCTCTGTAGTGATTTTGGCCCGTATTCAACAGAGTAACTTGGCCTGCCATATAAGAGGGAATAGAAACTGCTAGGTTGACTTAAGACATTTATAGGTATGAGTAGTGGGCAAAGGAATTGAGACAGTAGACCCACATACTTGTTAATAATGCAGTAACAGTCTTCTTATTTACGACCACACACACACACACACACACGCACACACCCCACCACACCTCTCTACACCTCATGCAACTCACAGGCTATAAGTGATCCTCTCACCTTGGCCTCCCAAAGTGGTGGGATTACGTGTATGAGCCACTGTGCTTGGCCTAATATGTGCTTTTTTGATACCTACCCAGTATTTGCCCTCAAAGTTTGACTTGATTATTTTAATAATGTTTCATTTGTATAAATACTCCAAGAGGAGTAGACACAGGATGTGATATACCATGAGCTTTAATTCTCAAATCACTTTTTTTCTCTTTCCTTCAGAGTTAGTGCTGCCTCAGGGGCTCAAGCTCTGAACATCCTCAAAAATGAAGGATGGAAATGTGTTAGAAAGTGAATTAAACCCTGATGAGTTTCATCTTTCTTGTCTTTGACTTTAAGATCACTCTTGGTGTGGGGAATTGGCTAGGGCTGGAAAAGCTGGTTAAATTTGGACCAAGTGCATTCATCTTTTTGTTTCTTCTCTCAGGGCAGAGAATTAAAATCCTGTAGAGCAATGGTTCTTAAACTGTGGGATGCACGCAAATCACCTGGGCATCTTATTAAAATGCAAAGTCTGACTTAGTAGGTCAGGGGTGGGCAACAGGCTCAGACTCTGCATCTCTAAAACTCCAAGGTGATGTTGATGCAGGTCCTTGGACTCACTTTAAGCATCAAGGTCATAAAGGGCTGGTAAAATCTCAGATCATATAAAAGTCATTGTTTCCATTTACCATTATTTTTTTCCTTTTTAAACCAACTTCCTCTCACTTATCCTTATTCTCTATTCCCAACCAATGCTTCTTCCAGAGATGTATGCTACAGTTTCATTTAAAATTCTATCTGGATACTTCTTTCAGATTTATTCTTTGTTCATAGCAGGGGATATACATCCCACACAAACATCAGTGACAGTCTGGGATCCTCGGTCAGTGAGCTGGGACTCACTGCATGTCACTGAAATTTTCTTGGTGGGTCTTAAGTAGAATGGCCACCATCAAGCCTCTTTCTTTGAGTGTTACTGAGTTTTCTCACAGGGGAATCTTTCTTCCTTTCACTTGACCATTTTTTGTTCTTCACTCTTTTCTCTTTGCTGTTGAATCTCAAGAGTTTGGAAAAGTTAAAGGTAATAGTACTTTCTTACAGAGGCACCACAGTTTCTTAAGATAAGAATAGAGAATAAAGAAGGGAAAAAGAATGGACGATTTGTGAAAGAAACAAAAACACCTAGAAATATGAATGTCTTACATATTCTAACAGTTTAGTAGAGCAAAGCACATGAGAATTAAAGGGCAGAAAAGCAACTTACTAATGGCTCCTGCAGTTCTGGCTAAAATACAAACAAAAAAGGCGAGTTTAGAGACAGCATGACTCAAGGGTGTTTATCTCAGGGAGTTTCAGATCAAGCATTTACTACATATTTGATTTACATGGAAAGGCAGCAAGAAGGTAAGTAGGCATTTTCCTTTCTTCCTTAGGAGACTGTGAAAATCATACTCCCTGCAGTTATTATTCTTAATTTTCATTATTTTCCTGCTGTCAAATCCTTCTAAAGATTATAGATAATTTTCCCTGGCCCCAGAATCTTTTTCACAATTTCATTAATTAATCTAGTTTTTATTATAAGAATTTCCCCTTTGCTAAATGAAAAAATTAATCAGTCACTTATAGGATTTTGAAATCAGCCTCAAATTCCTCATACTGGTAAAAGAAAGAGAGAACAGTAAAATGGCAAGTTTTTCTCCTTTCCTCCACCTTTATGTGCCTTCTCACCACCCTCCCCATTCCTCTGGTAGCAGGCACATTGTAGAACATCCAAATCATTACACTTGGTATGCATGTATTAGAATATCACATATATCCCATAAATTTGTACAATTATTAGGAGTCAGTAAAAAAAGGACTGAGTTGTGTATATGGGAAACTTACGGAGAGGTTCTTCAATTGTTTTTAAACATTTTATACTACCTATAATAAAAATTGAAAAGTATAATATTAGATATGATTTAGATTAGACTTTAGACTAAATTAGATTCAGACTTTCAGAAGGCATGGAGATAGATAATCCCATTCCCTCCTCCTCCTCCCCAGGTGTGGTACAAACAGTCTTGAGGTTAAAGACCTGAGTCCCAGTTTTGCTATTCTTTAGCTCTGTGATTTTGGGCAAGTCACTAAATGTTTTGAACATTAATTTTCTTATCTCTAAAACAGAAGTGGTGTCCCCCATCTTACTTATATTGTGAAGTTGCAGTGAAAAATCAGGAGTAATAACAGAAAGGAAAGCTGAAAAGTTGTATTAGAAATGTTATGGAAAGAAATATTCAGTAACTATAAACGAATGAAATACTTTGGCAAAGTAGTAAGCTACTTTATTTTACTTTTTTTCTGCTTTATTTTTTCCTTTTATTTCTGACTGTCATTTGAAAAGTTCTGAGTCCTGACAGCAGAGCATTATAATGTGCACTTAATTGTGTTTTTATTTTTGATTTATTAATTTGTGTTATTTTAATCTTTAAAATAACCCTATCTTCTTGTGTACCTTAGTACCTTAATTATGTCATTTTAATCTCTCTTGTTTCTGTCTTGAGAAATAACCAATCATATTTTAAGATGTTGAAAATTTTGCAATTTTTTATCTTAAAATAATTGAATAATGTGTTTCCTTCTTTGTGTATAATTATTTTTCGCTTATTTGTTACATTGCTGTTTTGGGAGGGAAATGGTAGCTTTCCCCAGAAACAACAGGATCTACCCTCAGCATTTGGAAAGAGATGTCTGTTTTTCTATGTGGTATTTTAGGCCATTAATCACTGAACTGTCAGTTTCTTGAGAAGGTGAAGCCACTTCCACCACCAAATAAAGATAATTTTAAAAGGACAGTTTTCTATACTTAAGATTTTTAAGATTTAAGATATTAACCTATGTTAGGAGTGACAATTATACTTGAGTTATGCATATTTAATTTTGATCAATTAGTAATGACTATCTGGAGATGAGAAGAATTTTAGGATACGTGTGGGCTGAGCAGGTAAGAGAATCATGATCAATTATTGATGTCTGCCATAGGCAAAGGCATGAGCAGAAATGTAACACAGGTCATATATATTCCTGACCTAAAGTAATATGGAATAATGAGGAGAAAGGAATTTTTCTTTTCTTTTCTTTTTTTTTTTTTTTGAGACAGTCTTTGTCACCCAGGCTGGAGTGCAGTGGCACAATCTCGGCTCACTGCAACCTTCGCCTCCTGAGTTCAAGGCATTCTTGTGCCTCAGCCTCCTGATTAGCTGGAATTACAGGCATGCGCCACCACGCCCAGCTAATTTTTGTATTTTTATTGGAGATGAGGTTTCGCCATGTTGACCAGGCTGGTCTGAAACTCCTGGCCTCAAGTGATCACCCCATCTCGGCCTCCCAAAGTGCTGGGATTACAGGCATGAGCCTCCGTACTGGGCCAAGAAGAGAAATTCTTGAACTGAGTATTTTGTGGCATTTCCCAGCTGAAGACAAATAAGTGGGGCAGTGAAAGGCATTTACTTGTTGCCTTACAGAGCAAAGAAGCAGATAAAAAAACTTAGGATGTACATATCCTGCCAAAATACTGAATATTATGTGTTTTGGATTAAGGACACTGTCTCTGTGGATATTCTTCCTAATGGGAACATCCAAGTTAGTTCATTTAGAGAGTACCACATTTTCCATACCAGACAGAATTCCGCATTATCTTTGTGGGGATCACAAACTCACTTGCATTAAGGGGTCCAGCAGGTCTCATGATTGTGAATCTGCTAGAGTTATAAGGGATAGAGATGGTGAAAAGTCCATGCCCTACTCAGAGGCATTCAAATTCAAAGTTTAATATAATGCCGTGCTGGCCAAACAAAACACATCTACAGGTGGCACTGGGCTACTGTTGGCTAATTTGGGAGCTGTATTTTCAGATAAGAAGAGATGATTTAAGTGAGCACTATCTATACTTCAGCAACAGTGCAGTTTGAGATCAGCATCATATGGGTTGTGGCCTGAGTCAGGATAGGGCAAGTGAATCCCTTTCTTTTCATTATTTTAAGGATAGGTATTGGTTGGGTCACATTTAACTAAAACCTGTGAGTAATAAACTTGTTCAGACTGTGAAGCATCTGGAAGTTTTGATGCCTTTTAGAAAAAAATAATGGAATATGATATATTTAATTCCATCTTTGAATAAGAAACAACTTTGCTAGTAGGAAATGTGACCCTAATATGCAACCACAAAAGTAAAAGTCAATATGAAAAATTTTGTAGGAAAAGCACATAGATCAGAAAAAAAATCTGTCCAGCCAGGGTTATCTGTTTTGGATTTTTTGCCGATTTCCTCACTTCTCTCTTCCTCATTCCTGTCCCAATCTTCCCTTCATTTAGAAAATGTGTTCATTTTTTTTTTTTTTGACAACCAATTGAAATCAGTTCCAGAAGGTTTATTTAAATTTTACCTCTTTGGTTTTCCTCTCTTCTCCATTTATTTTTTTCAGCTTCCCTCACTTCTCTGTTCTTTTATTTTGAGATGGAGTCTCACTCTGTCACCCAGGCTGGAGTGCAGTGGTGCGATCCCAGCTCACTGCAACCTCCCCTTCCAGGGTTCAAGTGATTCTCCTGCCTCAGCCTCCCTAGTAGCTGGGATTATAGGCACATACCACCATGCCCAACTAATTTTGTATTTTTGGTAGAGACGAGGTTTTACCATGTTAGCCAGGCTGGTCTCGAACTCCTCACCTCAGGTGATCCACCCGCCTCAGCCTCCTAAAGTGTCATGATTACAGGCGTGAGCCTCTTCTCTGTTCTTTTATTTGATTAATTTTCAACTAGTTGTTGAAATTAGTTATATAACTGACTTGACATTTTAATGAGAGATTAAATAACTTGCGTATGTTCAAACAAATAGTAAGTAGGGAACTGGGATACAACTCTAGTTAGCCTGGCTCTAGGGTCTGCATGCTTAACTTCTAGGCATGTAAATTCTAGTCCTCTGTAAATTGAAAATAATTAACAAGCAAATTTATTTTAAAAGTGATTTTTAGTAGGTCTTATATTACTTTCAATTCATGGAGAAATAGTGTATAGTTCAGATAAGAAGTGAGCAATAACTTTTTTCTAAGCCCACAGTCAGAGTGTACAGCATAATTTCCTCCCTTGAAGGTAGGCTGCGATTAGAGAGAGACGTAGTTAGGATCTGTTTAAGATGGAAGAAAATCAAACCTGTTCTATACCTTAAGGAGAAGCAGTTAAAGGAAGGAAAATATTTAAAGGTGTAGAAGACAGAAGCAATGACTTCTGAAGAAATAAGGGAGTGAGAGGATGTGGTCAAAGGCAAGAATGAAAGAATTTGCTTAAGCAAGTGGGAGGTCTCATTGTCTTAGAGAGGGGGAAAGGTGATAAAGGTGGGCATGATCCAGTTAAGATGGCTAATGAAGGACAAGGTGGAGAATCATGAGTCTTAAGCCCTGTTACACTGACATAGCAGGAAACAGAAAATAGTTAAGACAGGGAGAAGTCCTCTGCCTTGTGTAGGAGCCCAACAACATTAGATTTTGAAACAAAAAGATAAACTTACTCATGGATCCTTGAGTTGAAGCTAAAGAACAATAACAATTATTCAAGTCAGTCAAAAGTTTCAATAATCCATCAATTTCCCAAGAGTCTTCCTGGAAATAAGTCCTCCCTTAGGTTATTAGACTTTCCATTCCCCTGTAGGTAGGCTCATAAAGTGGTCACACTTGCAGGTGGTCCCATGTCTTTTCCCCCTTAGACACTATGCAGGGGTGAAAGTTACAGGGGAATATTCAGATTTACTATATTTCCAATATTCTGATTTCATTCACCACCTTTCTCCTGTCTTTTCCATTTCTCCCTCCCTTTTTCTTTCATCTTTTCAGTTTGGAGAGTCTTCTTTCCCTAATGTGATAGCCTCAAGAACCAAAGAAAGGCAATATTACAAAGGTTCTAGTTTTATAAGAAAAGAACACCGAGATTGAGAAAGAGAAGGGCTGTGCCTGAGTATGCAAAAAATTAAAGGCAGTTTTAGCCTCCAGTTTTCTTCACTTTAAGTTCAGCACGTTTTCCTTCATATTCTTTACAATTTTCTCTTCTTTCTGGAACATTCCTTTAAAATTTTTTTTTCTTTAACATACTGACCATCTTCCCTCCCCAACAGTTTTTTTCTGTTGTTTTTGTTCATCTCTAAAATGTTCCTCTTGTAAAATAACCTAAATTCTAGGGCAAGGCTTGTAGAAGGTTTAATGATATTAACTTTGATAGTAATTTGTACAAGCTACCATAGAATGAACCCTCACTATATTCAGTGGAGAAAGTCTGGATATTAGTCTTATTTGTCTTACATTGACTGTTAAATGACTATGCAAAGTTTGATAATTCTCACTATCTTTTGGAACTGCATTTAACTCATCTATGACAGGGTTTAATAATTTTTCTTCTGCTCAACTTTTATGATTCAATGAGGCTACATTCACAAACTAAAGCCCTGTGTTCTTGGGCCTTTTAGCCTTAGGGTACATTTTGGTAGGAGAAGCAAAAAAGGCTGACTTTCTAGAAATAGGGCCTGCCTAGAAAGAGGCAAATAAGGAGGATGAGGTCCCTAGACAAACAAGGGTTTATGGTACTGAAACCACCAAGAACTTGCTCAATTCCCTTGTAAACTGTGTTAAATACCCACATCTCTAAGGGCACATCAATTGCTTAAAAGCATCAGCGTTAATCCCCCTTTGAAAAGAAGATCAGAAAAAACATCCCTCACACTACCTTCCCCAGGGGGCATCAGATCCTCTATGCCAGCTGTAGTGTGATTTTTTTCATGGATTGTTTAGGCATCTTGTACTCTGGTGGTGTGGCCAAGGCCCAGAATGACATGTAGGACTGACGATGAGCAGAGAAGGTGATTCCCTTTTCCTTTTCTTCTCAGCCTTTGTAAAGGTTGAAACTCTTAAGAAAACTTGGAAGACCTTAGGTTTTTTTTTTTTTTTTCCCTGGGACAGGGTTTCACTCTGTTGCCCAGGTTGAAGTTCAGTGGTTCTGTCATAGCTCACTGTAACCTCTCACTACTGGGCTCAAGTGATCTTCCCATCTCAGCCTCCTGTGTAGCTAGGACTACAGGCATGCCACCATGCCCTACTAATTCTTTTAATTGTTTTGAAGAGACAGAGCCTCACTATGTTGTCCAGGCAGGTCTTGAGTTCCTGGCCTCCAGGATCCTCCTACTTCAGCCTCCCAAAATGCTGGGATTACAGGTGTAAGTCACCATGCTTGGCCCTTAGTTTTTTTTTTTTTTTCCTTTTGCCTCTACTTGCTTTGAGGAGGTGGAGGACCTTAGGCTTGATTAAACTTTCCTTAGTTTCCCTATGTACTTCCTTCTTATTATCTGCTTGCTCTCATTTCTCTTTCCTAAATTAGAAATAGAAAATAAACTGAAATATGATTCCTGGAGTTGGCACTGAGGAATAATAATAAAAATCCACATCAGTCTGAGTTAATTGGTTTACAAAGTATACAATTCTCACTGAAATCATTTTAGAAAGGGGACCCTTGATTAGGTCTCATTAAGTACAATGGGCCATCAACTACTAGAATGCTTGGGTTTGAATCCTGGTTCCCCTACTTACTAGCTGTGTTACTCTGCCTGTTTTTTTTTTATGCCTAAGTTTATTCATTTTAAAAATAGAATTTATAATAATATCTACTTCCTAGGATTATTATGAAGAAGTGTTTAGGACAGAGCCTGGAGCATAATGCTCAACACATATTATTATATCATCATTTCAGATTGCAGTCCTTATCTGTTTATACATGTACGGGTAATGGACTGCAGCCTCCTCTATCTTGGGCACTATGCTAGTTCAAGATTTTCAAAGAAATAATAGGATCAAGTCCTTTGAGGTCCTGGTTTGAGAGGCCCTGTCTCAAGTTACCACAGTCCAGTGAATTGCTTATGAGAATTATCTCTCAAGAGGGCCTCATCCATTCTTTAGGACCACATATCATCTTGAGCTTCAGGGATGAATAGCTTCCTGGTGGCCCTATGCATCTTTCAGCTAAATACTCTATGTAACTAATTACTCATCATCCTTTGAGATTAATCCCCAAATGGGTCACATCCTCATTTAATTTACTCACCATCTGAAGATAATCCTCATCTTAAGGATGCTTATTATCATAATGCTTTTTTAAATTCCTAATTGGACGTTCCTTCCACCTCTCTTTACTCTCTAAAACACACCATGCTGTCAGAAATTCATATCAGCAAATTTTCCTGTATCTTGAACTTCTCCAAACGTTTTCTTCACCATCTTGCTTTAATATGCCTGACTGTCCTTTAAAATACTGTATCTCAAGGCTGGGTGCGGTGTCTCATGCCTGTAACCCCAGCAATTTGGGAAGCTGGGGAGGGCAAATCACTTGAGGCCAGGAGTTCAAGACCAGCCTGGGCAAGATGGCAAAACCCTGTCTCTACTAAAAATACAAAAATTAGCCGGACATGGTGGCGCACGCCTGTAATCCCAGCTACTTGGGTGGCTGAGGCACAAGAATTGCTTGAACCCGGGAGGTGGAGTTGCAGGGAGCCGAGACTGTGCCCTGCACTCCAGTCTGGGCAACAGAGTGAGATTCTATCTCAAAAAAAAACAACAAAAAACAAACAAAAAAAAACTGTATCTCAGATGTTGCTCAAAGGACACAAAGTTTCAGTTAGATAGGAGCAATACATTCAGGAGATCTTTTGTACAACATGGTGATTATAGTAAATAATGTGTTATACTTGACATTTGCTAAGAGTGTGGATTTTAAGAGTTCTCTCCACAAAAAGTGTGTGAGGAAATGGATATGTTAACAGCTTGATTTAGTCATTCTACAGTGTATACATATATCAACACATTATGTTGTATACCATAAATATATACATTTTTGTCAATTAAAAATGATAACATTTTTTAAAAACCATGTCTCTTACAGCCCTCTTAGTGAGCTAATTTTTTTTTTATTGTTGAGACAGGGTCTCACTCTGTTGTTGAGGCTGTGACATCTGGTTTTTTGTTTGTTTGTTTGTTTAGAAAAAGTCCATACCCATATACATGCCTGAATGTAGGTAAATGTCATTTTTGCTCCCCATTGCTGTTTCCAAACAATATCTTCTCCAGTAGAAACCCCTGTTGTCTTTGAAGCAATATGAGACTCTACTCTGTACCTCTCTCCTTGTTGCTATCATAAATAAATATGATGGTCATTCTCTCCCATTTCATTCTCTACCAGAAGACAGGGTTGCCTTTTTACAGCATAAATGTGGCTTTATCCCTTCCCTGATGAAAACAATGGCTTATTGTGGTGCTCAGAAGTGTTCTCCATATTTTATTCTAAAAGACTTTTTGTGATCTGGCCTCTCCGTACCTTTCAGACTCCTCCACCATCATTCACAACTGGCTTTCAGCAATCTCTCATACAAGCTACTCTTCTTCCCCTTTCAGGAACTTGGTGTTCTTTCTGCCTGAGATACTCTTCCCTAAGATCCTCATGTGGCTGCCACCTTTTCACCATTCAGTGTCACTTCAAATATCTCCTCAGGGAAATTTCTTTCCATCTCCTAGCTAAAGGCCCTCACTTCTTGGTCTTGCTGTATCATATTATCTTAATTTGTTTTCTCCGTAGAATGTGCTATGATAGTCTAATAATCATAGTAGGAATTAATCTAGAAAGGGAAATTATTGTATTTGTTTGCTTACGTGTTTATTTTCTGTCTTACCTCACTAGAATCTATGCTGTCTATGAAATACTTATATTGTTATATTGACAATACTTCTATTGTCTTAGGCATAGCAGCTGCAATGCTCGAAATTTCCCCTTTGGAGGGTTTTTATGGCAAGCCTGTCTCACTTGGGTCCTCTGCAGATTTTGCTGGGTAAATTAAAGATTTGAGTTTATTGTTTAGCATGTTTCAACCCCCAAATATTTTACCCTTTCTGTAAGTTAGATGAAAACAAAGCAAAACTAGATAAAACATGTTTTAATCATAAAAGTAATAAAATATTGAGCTTAATAGCTTTCTAAGGGCACTTGTTAACAGTTATATATACAACAAAACAGCCTTATTCATGGAATAAGATTATGGCACAGTATTGGATTAGCACACTAATTCTGATATTTTATATTAATTTACATTTTAAGATTTTCCAATTACATTTTAAAAATTGAAGTAATATATTTTTAACATATGCATAATTTTCTAAATTCCTTGGAACAAACATTTTGTTTCCAAAGAATACTTTGGATTGGAAGAGTAAACATATTTAATGATGTCCTGGGGGTAGCTGGACAAGCTCAGAACTTGGAGTCCAAAGGCCAGTGTTTAGAACCTCAGTTTTACTCTTTTACTAGCTATATGCCTTTGGTCAAGTTAAATAATATCTTTAAACTTCATTTTTTCCTCATGTGTAACATCTGTAAATAGTCAAGGAACACGACCCACTTTAATTACAACCCTCTCCTTGTCCCCTACTCCCATTCCCTGGTCTCTTCACAAACCTCTCTCTTCTTCCCTCCTATTCCTAAGTTAATGAAGCTATTACTGTTTTGCTGAAACTATGATTGCCAGCTAAAACCATTTTAATCCTCTCTTTATTCTTTAATCAGTGGACTTCTCATTCTTTGAAGGTCTCATTAATTTTAGACAAAATGCTCAATGATGGGGAAGGAAAAGGAGGTGAGGGACAAGAGCTCAGCAGGGTTAGGGAATGTTCTTTAGTTCTGTGACACACCAAAGAGACTTAGAATTTGGAAATATGAAAATTTCCCCCTTGCTCTCCTAAAAATAAATACAAACAAAAAATTCATATGGTTGTCTGGCTCAAAAACTATCCATTTCTTTCTTTCTTTTTTTTTTTGCAGGGGACAGGGCAGGGATGAGTATCGGAACCAAGAACACCTGGGAGCACCAAACCCTTAGTGTCAGTTGCAGCTCAGGGAGATAGGGAATTAGCCATCTCTTCCATTGCTGCCAGCCTGACTTGGGGATGCCTCAGGGAAGGCTGCTCTTTCCGGCTAGCCATGCAAAGCTTTGAAATTCTGAAGACACAGCTAATATCATTTATCCCTCATTCTGTATTATCTTCATCCTCACCTTATTTTTCTTACTAACTTCTTGCTCTCATCCTTCTTATTTACTCTGTTTTTCCAACACTTCAGGTTTGGAAATTTCTCTCTTCATGTCATCATAATAAACCACTAGAAACTTGCATTTACTTTTGACTGATTATTGAGGTGTCTGGTTATGGAGAACAAAGAAATTGGATAAACATGAAGTTCAAACTTCTGCTGTGCTTCAGTGAAGAAGTCTGGGAAGTTTAGGAAGATATCCTCTTGATTAAATGGGGCTAAATGTCAGCAGAATTGAAGAAAAGTAAAGGAACTTACCAATACTTGATCGAGACAGTGCTAAAATAAAACACATCAAAACAAGACTGAGTTCTGTTTGTCCCAGGGAGAACTTAGATGCCATAGACACTATATTGCAGAAAAGTTGTAGGGAAGAGGATAGAAATGAGTCACAACTCATTTCCTGTTATCAATTGCAATGCATTGTGGTGAGCAGCTGGATATCTACATATGGACTGCAATTACTTTTGTGGTAAGGTGGGACTACAAGATCTATGCAACCTGTCTTTCAATTTCGGTGAGTAACAGAATAAAAATATTTTTGGAGATTGCTAGCTTCTCAATCTGTGGACATTTTTCTGTCCCTATAAGTCTTCTTTCATTGGTGGTTCTGCTGCTTTGTTCTTTCCTTCTCTACCTTTCTTCCACCTCTTCCTCTCTCCCTTAATTTTCTTTTTTTCACCTTTGTTCGAAAATATTTTTTGTTACACCAAACAATTACCACCTAACTGCTTCAACAGGGGTTTCCACTTTCCAAAATTCACTTGTGCCCTATGGAGATGAAGAATAGCAAGACACCAAATCAGGAAGTTTTTGAATAATATTAGAAGCTAAAGAGTCAAAGTAGTGAAAGTATTTAGAACCTCAGGGCTTACTGAAAGGGTGCTTGCTATAGAGGGGGATATTTCCTCCTCTCCTTTAAGTGACTACTCTGAACACGGTAGTTTTTAAAGTTTATAAGGTAGAGCTGAACTTGAAAACTAAAAGGAGAAGTAATATATTCAAGAAAAATATATCAAGAAGGAACCCATATTTTTGGTAATGAATGAGAAGTTTCACCACCTGTGTGATATCTTATTGGAGGACTGAGTCTTAAACACCTGATCACCAGCAGAAATCAAGGCCACAGGCCTCATGCATTGTAAGAACCTGGGATTATCTTCCTGTTTAATGTGTTAGGTTACATGGAAAAAGGGAATTAATATTGCAGATGAAGTTAAAGTTGCTAATCAGCTCACCTTAAAGTAGGGTGATGATCTTGGTATATCTGAGTGGGCCCAATATAATCACAAAGATTTTTAAGAGTGGAAGCAGGAGACAGAAGAGAGAAAGATAGAAAGAGAAACAGGTATTACAATGGAGGAAGGGCAGAATGATGTGATGTGAGGATTTGATTTATTTTTGTTCACTTTGAAGGCAGAAGAAGGGAGCCATGAACCAAGGAATGTGGTCAGCCTCTAGAAGCTGAAAAAGCAAGGAAACAGATTTGTTCCTAGAACATCCAGAAAGAATACAGACTAGCTGACAACCTGATTGTTGTCCAGTGAGACATATATGACAGATTTATAAACTATGGAATTGATAGATAATAAATTTGTGTTGTTTTAAGCCATTAAGTTTGTGGTAATTTGTTAGAGCAGCTATAGAAAACTAATACAACATGGTTAGACTATTTCTCCAAAATTCCCTTATAGTTAGGTGTGGCTATATGATTGAGTTCTAGTCAATCGAATGTTGTTAGAAGTGATATGAAAGTCATCCAGGCTTGTTTGTAAAGGAAATCTAATATACCAGCAGAAGGTAGGAAAGAAGATTTAAAAATGAAAGAACAAAGCATAGTACTATAAGTGGAAAACACAATATAAATTGGAGACATTGGCCGGGCGCGGTGGCTCACACCTGTAATCCCAGCACTTTGGGAGGCCGAGGCAGGGGGATCACAAGGTCAGGAGTTCGACACCAGTCTGGTCAATATGGTGAAACCCCGTCTCTACTAAAAATACAAAAATTAGCTGGGCATGGTGGTGGGCGCCTATAGTCACAGGTACTCGGGAGACTGAGGCAGAAGAATTGCTTGAACCCGGGAGGCGGAGGTTGCAGTGAGCTGAGATTGCGCCACTGCACACCCAACTGGGGGAAAAAAAAAAAAAAAAAATTTTCACAAAAAAAAAAAAAAAAAAAAAGGAAACATTTAGATAAACATACAAAAATTCACAATATAAAATGAGTTAAATTCATCTATTAGGGAATGGAAAATTTTACATTGTTAATATGAACAAAGTCAAGCAATATGCCATTTAAAAAAGACACAAGACAAAAACAAACTCTTAAGGTTCAAAATAAAAGGATGAAAAATATGTATAATAGGAAAATACTAATTAAAACAAAGTTATTAGAACAATGTTTATATCAGACAGTGTAGAATTTAAGTCAAAAAATAGTCATGAGGATATGAGTGGATATGAAGACATGAGTTTCAGCAGCATTTAGAAGTTACTTAGATATTTATATTAGAAAATAAGAGCATCTGCTTTGGCAGCACATATCCTAAAATTGGAATGATGCAGAGAAGGTTAGTGTGGCCCGTGTGTAAGGGTGGCACGCAAATTTGTGAAGTGTCCCATATAAAAATAAAATAAAAAAAGAAGATAAGAAAGTCTGGAAAATAATTAAGAGTTTCATATAGCAAGCTAGAAAAAGGAACAAAAATAAAGCGAAAGTAAAGAGAAGGAATTTTACCCATAGATATACATAGCCCAAGCTATGACAAGAAAATGGTTTTAAGAATTGGAAAAGGAAACTCAAGATTATCAGATTTTGCAGTTGACATAATGTTTTACATATAGAATTCAAGAGAATCTAAAAGTTATTAGAACTCTAAGAGCACAGCAGGGTGGCTAGATACAAAATCTACTTTCAGATATATAGCATATAATTTATATTCCAACAATAATTATTTGTAAAATCCACATAGAGAGATAGTATTCACATCAGAAACAAAAAACAAGTATTTATATAAGAATTAATCCAACAAAAGATATGCAAAACCTTTCTGAAGAAAATTATATTACATTATTGAAGGGTATATGAGAAAATTTGAATAGTAGGCAACCATGTTAATGCATGGGAAGAACTGATTTTACAAATTAATCTACGGACTCAATGAAATTTCAGTGAAATCCTAATATGACTGTTATGGATCTTGAGAAATTATAAAATTCTTGTGTAAGAGAAAAGGTCGAAGAATAGCCAACATATTTCTGAAAAAGAACAAAGATAATGTGCTATTTTAAAATAATAAATGTTATACAGTTTTAGTAGTGAAAGCAATGTAGTATTGGTTCAGTAAAAGACAAAAGATCACTGGAACAGAAAATAAAATCCATGGAAAAACCAAATATATAAGATGAAGATGGCATTACAAATCAGCAGAGAAAGAACACACCAGTCAATAAATCTAGTTGGAACAAGATGAGAATAAATCCATCTAGTTGGTTTTCCAGATGAGCAGAAAATTAGATCTCACCTGTATTATTTCTGAAATCACTCACCACAACCAAAAAACAATTAACAAAACCCCATGTAGATTAAAGGCCTATATGCAGAAAGGGAAATTTAAAAACTATTAAGAGAAAGTATTAGACAAAATCTTTGTGATACCGAGGTAAGGCCAAGCAAACAAAAAAGCAGAAACTCTAAAAGAAAACAAAAGATTGACAAATTTTATTACAATAAATTGTGTGATGTTGGGGGAGAGTGAGTGGAGGCCTTCTAAAAGTCAAGAGACACCATAAAAATTTAAAGCTAAGAGATAGAATTGGAGGAGATAATTGCAAATATTTAACATAACATATAAAAGTTGATCTTTCATAATAATAAAGAATTACTACAAATCAATAACTGATAGATAAATGAGTAAAGTAGATGAACAAGCAATTTATATAGGGTGAAACCTAACTAGCTAGTAAGCCTATGAGAAGATACTCAATTTCAGGAGTGAGCAGGGAATGTAGATTTTAAAAATTGTACATGTATTCAAGTGCCAATAATAGAAAAATATGACAAAATCTGGGATTGTTACTAATGCAGAGAAATTGGAAACTTTTATTTATTTCTGTATGCCTCTATGTAACTACCAAGGAGCTTAATTCATTAATAGCTAGTAAAATTTAAACTATGCATAAATTACATAAATGCTCATATACAATGTGATCACTAATCCTACTTCAGGGTATGTACCCTGGATAAACTCTTTTCCATCTACTTAAGGACTATCTTTGCAGCATTATTTGTGATAGCAGAAACTGGAAACATTGAGAATGCATTGGTAGGAGAAAATAATAGAAAAATATTGTATATTCATAGGGTGGAATATTGTTCAACAAAGTGTATAACCTGGATTTCAAAATTACATTTTGAGAGAAAAATGCAAACCACAATGATACTATCAGACAGATGCCATTTTTTGTAAAATTAAACATCTAAAAAATAATACTACATTTTGTTCAGTGATAGGTAGAGACTATAAATACATGTAAATAGACTTAAATATTTAAAGTATATTAATAAGCCTTTGGGATGAAGGGAGTGGAATATGTCTATAAGTTGAGAAATATGACAAGAATATTATCAATTTGTCACATGTACAGTGTGGATATACAAGTGTTAATTGTTTTTATACTTAATTTTAAAATCTTTCTTAAAAGAGAAAAAATGCAGAAACAATATGGCTTGCAAACCAGATGACAGTAGAATTGAAAGAAAACCACAAAGCACTTACCTAGAGAGTTGGTTGATGGTGCTAAAATACATACACAGAAAACATGAGGTGAATCATGAGAATTTGGATCCCTAATCTTTGCATATCAGCTTCAGTGGCTGTTACCCCCTTCTCAGGAGTTAAAGCCTAGGCCCTGGGAGTCATCACTGATCTGGTGATGGGTACTGATGGCCACTCCCACCAGCTACTGCATATGCTTTCCATCTCTACAAATGGGTTTAATTTTTAGTAGGCAGATGCCATTCCTACTGCCCTAATTCCTCCCTCCCTTTTTTCCCTCTCTATTTTCTTCTCTCTCTCCCTTTTGTCTTTATTACTTTCCTTTTCTCTTGCTCATCACTTCTTCTATTGTTTTCCTTTTCTCCCAGCCAGATCATTCTAAACCAGTACTAGAAAACTTTGTCTATTGCTTAGTATTCACATGACTTGACATATGACAGGATTTCTCTTTCCTCCAAAGCGTTTACAATCTAGGGAAATGTTACTAATGGGAAGCACATTTTTGTTGAGAAACAAGATAATACTTACTGTAGTCTCTTTTGGATCCCTCTGAAAACACAAACAAAAGAAAGAAAAATCAATTTGGATATTCTATTCCTGTAGTTCTGGTATCACTACAGAGGATTGCCCAATCAACACCCTCAAATACCCAGTTAGGCAGGAAACTGGAGACAAAATCTCCTCATGGCTGAATTTGTAAGTTTAATGACATAAAAAACCAGGCAAAGATTAATTAAGGTAAATACATGTAGTGAGAAGAAATAAACTATGCATGCAAACATTAAAACAAAAGAATATAGTTATAAGGTAAGTTGAGGTCAAATAAAAGAAGGAATGGTAAAATATTTACTCAGCTGATTGAGAATTCAAGTTCAACGACAATATGTCAAATTATATTGAATACAAATGTGTCTATTGATTGCGACTGAATGTGCATCCTATGATCTAAGACTTGTTTCTTAGTGATGTCATGGAAACAGACTTTCTAAGAAATCTAGAGACAAAGCAAATTACATGAAAAACTAGTCATGTTATCACTGTTGTTTTCATGAAAGTGTAAAAGCAAATAGTAATATTGATACTTTGTAATTGATTTAAATTATGTTGAATCATAATATCATTTGATATTTCACTAAAGTATAGTTAAAGATCTACTTAGAAATGTAAAGACAATGGTATTTTTTTTCAGCTTCTTTTCTGAAAATGAGTGCTCTCCTTCCATACTTGGTAGTCATTCTGGTGGGAATCAAGTACAAAACACATTCTCTGTTTTATAATAATGTTACTTGTTTCTCATGGTTCTATGGGGATTTTAAAAACGGTGTCTCACGCCTGTAATCCCAGCACTTTGGGAGGCCAAAGTGGGTGGATTACCTGAGGTAATTCCCTTTCTCTCTCTCTGACCAGTCCTATCTCCAGAACTCAACAAGTACCACTAGAGCTACCTCTCTTTCTTATTGGAAGCCACTAAAATTGTCCACACTACGCCCACCACCTACACCAGAACTATAAGGTTATGAGATTGTGGATGTGGAAATAATCACACACACACACACACACACACACACACACACACACCCCAAGTATATAGATCCCGGAGAGTTGAGGAAAGAAAAGAGAAAGTAACTAACTGAGTCACTTTGCTTGCTGTCAACTCTGTCAACCACACAAAAATGAACTACCCCAAAATCCCTCCCGCAAAATCCCTCCCTCCCTGGCTGTCCAAGGCCTCCAGTAGCCTACAGGTTGCTTTGGTGCATATTAGGAAAAGGTGTTCCTTCCTCCAGGTGAATGCAGCCCCACCCCAGAGACACTGCTGGGGATTTCAATTCCCTTAGCCCTTTGTGCAGTGAACCAACCTGTATTTAGGTCCTTAGTCCATTTTAAAATCAGTTTGTTTGAGCTGTATTTTGAGTTGTATCTTGCTTTTGAGTTGTGTGAGTTCCCTATATATTTTGGATATTGCTGTGGTTTGAATGTCCCCTCCAAAACTCATGTTGAAACTTAATCCTCAATGTGACAGCATTGAGAAGTGAGGCCTTAAAGAGGTGATTATATCATGAGGGTTCTACCCACATAAATGGATTAATCCACTAATGGATTAATGAGTTGTCACGCAAGTGGAACTGGTGGCTTCATAAGAAGAGGAAAGACCTAATCATAGCATGTTAGCCACCTTGCCATGTTATGCCCTGTACCACTTCAGGAATCTGCAGACAGTCCCCACCAGCAAGAAGGCTCTCACCACATGCGCCCCCTCAGCCTTGGACTTTCCATCCTCTATAACTGTAAGAAATTATCATACATTTCTTTTCTTTCTTTCTTTTTTTTTTTTTTGTTTTGAGACGGAGTCTTGCTCTGTCACCCAGGCTGGAGTGCAGTGGCGCAATCTCGGCTCACTGCAAGCTCCGCCTCCCGGGTTCAGGCCATTCTCCTGCCTCAGCCTCCTGAGTAGCTGGGACTACAGGCGCCCTCCACCACGCCCGGCTAATTTTTTGAATGTTTAGTAGACACGGGGTTTCACCGTGTTAGCCAGGATGGTCTCGATCTCCTGACCTTGTGATCCGCCCGCCTTGGCCTCCCAAAGTGCTGGGATTACAGGCGGGAGCCACTGCGCCCGGCCTAATTTCTTTTCTTTATAAATTACCCAGTTTCAGATATTGCTGTAAGCAACTGAAACAGATTAAGACAAATATTAACCACTTATTCAGATATATGGTTTGCAAATATTTCCTCCCATTCTGTGAGTTGGATTTCATTTTGTTGATTGTTTCCTTTGTTGTTCAGAAACAATTTTGTTTGATGAGATATCACTTAGTTTTGCTTTTGTTACTGTGTTTTTGGTGTCATATAAAAAAACTTGCAAAGACCAATGTCATGGAGCTTTTCCCTGTTTCATTATAGGAGTTTTATGGTGTCAAGTCTTACATTAAAGTCTTTAATCCATTTTGAATTGATCTTTCTGTATAGTATGTGATAAGGACCAATTTCTTTCTTTTTTTGCATATGGATATCCAGTTTTCCCAATAACATTTATCCTTTCCCTACTGTGTATTCTTGGTAACTTTATTTTCTCTCTTATTAATTTTCTGTGCGGATGATCTATTCATTGTTGATAATGGGTTACTGAAGTCCACTACTATTAGTATATTGCTGTCTATTTCTCCCTTCAGTTATGTTAATATTTGCTTTATATATTTAGGTGCTCTGACATTATGTGCATATATACTTATAATTTTTATATCCTCTTGATGAATTAGCCCCTTTATAATTATGTAATGGCCTTCTTGTCTCTTGTTATAATTTTTGACTAAAAGTCTATTTTGCCTGATATAAGTATAGCCACCCCTACCCTCTTTTGTTTTCCATTTGCATGGGACATCTTTTTTTCATCCCTTTACTTTCATTCTATGTGTATCCTTAGAGCTGGAGTGTGTCTGCTAGAGGCAGCATATATAGTTGCAGCTTGTTTTTAAATACATTTAGCGACTCTATGTCTTTTCATTAGGAAATTTAATCCATTTACGTTCAAGTAATTATTGATAGTTAAGGACTTAATATAGCTATTTGCTTGGTTGTTTTCTGGCTGTTTTGTATATCCTTTCTTCCTTTCTTTCTTTGTGATTTGCTGATTTTCTGTCGTGGTATGCTTTAATATCTTTCTGTTTTGTGTATCTAGTATAGGTTTTTGGTTTGTGGTTACCATAAGCTTACATAAAACATGGTTTCAACAGTCTATTTTAAGCTAATAATAACTTAAAATAGACTGCATACAAAAACTGTACATATTATTCTCCCTACTTTTTACATTTTTAGTGTCAAAATTTACATTTAAAGTAATTGTACATCCATTAACAAATTATGTATTTTTAATATTTTTGTCTTTTAACTTTTGTATTAGCATTAAAAGTGATTTATACACCATCATTACAATATTAGAATATTCTGAATTGACTGTATATTTACCTTAGCAGTTAATTTTATACTTGGATATGTTTTCATTTTACTAATTTATTGACCTTTCATTTCAGCTCGAAGAACATTCTCTAGCATTTCTTGTAAGGCAGATCTATGGGTGATAAACTCCCTCAGCTTTTGTTTGTCTGATAAGGACTATCTCTTTCTCATATCTGAAAAACAGCTTTACAGGTAAAGAGTTATTGGTTGGCAGTTTTTTTCTTTCAGCAAATTGAATATATCATCCCACTATGTACTGGCCTAGAAAATGTCTGTGTAGAAGTGCTAATATCCTTTTGATGTACCTTTAAATGTGATATGCTTTTTTCAAGATTCTCTCTTTAACTTTGATTATTGACAATTTGACATAATGTCTTGTAGAAGACTTCTTTGGGTTAAATACGATTGGAGAGTTTTGAGTTTCATGTATCGAGATGTCTATATCTCTTTACAGATTTGGAAAGTTTCTAGCAATTATGCCTTAAATAAGCATTTATTCTATTTTATTTCTCTTTTCCTCTGAGACTCCAATAATGAAAAAGTTAGCTTCCTTGATGGTGTCCCATAAATCTTATACATATTTCTTCATTTCTTTGTGTTTCTTTTTTGTACTCTGACTGGATAATTTTAAATGATTGGTCTTTGACTTCTCTTATTCTTTCTTGTACTTGATCCATTATCTTGGAAGCTCTCTATTCTCTCTCTTTTTTTTAAGTTTAGTCATTGCACTCTTCAGCTCCAAAATTTCCCCTGCTTGAAAGAATTGGGACTTGGCTGGGTGCGGTGGCTCACGCCTGTAATCCCAGCACTTTGGGGGGCTGAGGCGGGAGGATCACGAGGTCAGGAGATGGAGACCATCCTCGCTAACACAGTGAAACCCCGTCTCTACTAAAAATACAAAAGTTTTAGCCGGGCACGGTGGCGGGCACCTGTAGTCTCAGCGACCCGGGAGGCGGAGGCAGGAGAATAGCGTGAACCCGGGAGGTGGAGCTTGCAGTGAGCCAAGATCGCAGGCGACAGTGTGAGACTCCGTCTCAAACAAACAAAAACAGTTTATCATTAGTCTCAATCCAACTACTAAAAGATTTGCTAGTTTCCCAGATATTCCCATTTTCTTTAGGTTCCATTTCAGAAAATAAACAGGGAATGCCATGGCACTTTGCTCCTCACTCTTGTTCATGATAGATGAATCATAGAGGTAAGAAGGATAGACCAAGAGTCCAAGTGTGGGGCATGGACAGCAAGCGAAGTAACTGAGTTACTTTCTCTTTTCTTTCCTCAACTCTCCAGGATCTATATGCTTGTTGTGTGTGTGTGTGTGTGTGTGTGTGTGTGTGTGTGTGTGTGTGTGTGTGATTATTTCCACATCCACAATCTCATGACCTTATAGTTCTAGTGTAGCTGGTGGGCCTGGTGTGGACAACTTTAGTGGCTTCCAACAAGAATGAGAGGTAGCTCTAGTGGTTCTTGTTGAGTTCTGGAGATAGGACTAGTCAGAGAGAGAGAAAGAGGGAAGGAAAGAGAGAGAGAAAGAGAGAGAGAGAGAAAGAGAGAGAGAGAGAGAGAAAGAAAGCTGAGGGAACATCTATAGGCAACCCTAGAGAGTGGATATTGAAAGAGAACATTGAGTGTTGGGGCATGAGGGTTAGGGATAGCCATCGTACATTGAAATTAGTGGTACTGGTGTGTTCCCTCAAAAAAGTAGACAGGACATTGCTGTCTTCTCATAACTATCACATTTCAAAACCTGAATTTGATATCCAGCTCCTTCCTCAGCTAGGTGAACTTGAGTAAGTCTCAATCTTTTGAGCATAAATTTCATCTTCTTAAATGGCGATAAGCTTTTTATTTTACCTCTTACACTGAATGGCTTTCAAAGTGTATTTTCACATATACTATTCCATTTCATATTCATTTTATCCACATTTTAAACATCCAGGAAATTGTTTCAGAGAGGTTCCTTAACCTTTCTGATATGTTGGGGGTAAACATAAGATAGAAATGAATTCTTCTGATGGTCTTAAGAAGGAGAATTATTTACCTTTTCTGAGAAAAATGCACAATTTTTCTTGAGAGAGAGAGAGAGAGGAGTGATAAGCATTTGGATATTATAACAACGAAAGATATGCTAACTCAACAAATCATGCTCAAAGGGAGATGAATTGATTCACTCTCTAAAGAGTGTATTCCTTCATTAACGCTCTAGTAGTTCCTAATCTATTTACCTCTACCATCCTCATAGTCCAGAAGTCTAGCACCTGGAAAAAAAGGGAGAGCACATCATTTTTCTTCTTGATTGTGAGCCTTTATTTAAGACTCTGAGAACTAATATAAACATGAACTCCTAATGGTGAATAATGACGTGAATTAATTTACAGGAACTAGGAATTGTGCATAAGTTGCAGGAACTGATGATGATAAGTGACTGTGCCAGTCATCAGTTTTATAATATTAGCCAAGCTAAATGATAGTCAGAAGGAATTTCAAAGTTTCTTTTACCTCTTGATACTTCAGCAGCTAGTCTCCTATTTTTTGCCTTATACCAATCCTGTGCTATCTTTCTTAGCAACTTTGGCATCTCTCCAGACTTTTCCATGGAAAGTCTTCTTCACATCCTGAAGTTGGTACTCTCCTCAATCATAATTACCTTAACTGTGTTCACTCTCGTTATTCTACGATACATTAGATTTTTCTGTCCAGCCACCTTACTAAGACCCTCTTCACGAATAGATTTAGGCTTTTTACTGAACCATCTTCTTCAGTGCCTGAGGAGTTTGCTATTTCCATGGGTTAATATCTCTATTGTTGCTCTCAGACCACAGGAAACATTTGAAGAGGGCCTTAGAACTATGTGGGCCTACCCAGTATTAATTAATTCTCCCCAACTCCAGTTTGGCATTCAGTACTGCTCAGAAACCTGGGGTAGATTTCTCCCAGTCACTTAGAAGCAGTTCAGTTCATGCAATGGTGCACTATGCAAGGTTCTGGAAACACAACTGTAAACAAGACAGATTTCATTCTTGACTTGTGAAAATTCCTTTTTTTTTTTTCTGAGATGGAGTCTTGCTCTGTCACCCAGGCTGGAGTGCAGTGGCCGGATCTCAGCTCACTGCAAGCTCCTCCTCTTGGGTTCACACCATTCTCCTGCCTCAGCCTCCCGAGTAGCTGGGACTACAGGCACCCGCCACTTCGCCTGGCTAGTTTTTTGTATTTTTTAGTAGAGACGGGGTTTCACCGTGTTAGCCAGGATGGTCTCGATCTCCTGACCTCGTGATCTGCCCTTCTTGGCCTCCCAAAGTGCTGGGATTACAGGCTTGAGCCACCGTGCCCGGCTGACTTGTGAAAATTCTATAAATACTTACTGTATTTCTTTTTCTCGTGAGTATAAGTACTTACTTTGTTCTGAACTGTATCTGCAGACATACATTTCTGTGGAAGAATTAGGCAAAATGTTTTTATTAGTTACTTGTGAGAAGTGTTCTTCCTCTGATCCAACTCTCGTTACTCTAAGCTGTGCTTCTTGTCTCCCAAGGTGGTCCTCCTGATATAATGTATTATTGTTCTCACCCATTTTCCACATCTCCCATCAGCCCTGTTTTTATCTGTCTTTTCACAATACTTATGCTTTGAGGGCTTACAGGCATTGAGGGTGGGAAACAGGGAGGGAATATAGCTAATTAGAAAGTTGTGGGAGAGAAACAGAAACATCCAGGAAAGAGGGACCTTGTGGCATAGAAATAGGTCTTAGCTGTTATGAGCTCCATCTCTGTTTCATTGACAAGTACTACTCTGTATTTGTCTCTTCTTATCATCTCCCCAAATTAAGTCACTGAAAGTCTCCAATTATTATATAATACTAGATATTGGTGTTTACCAACTTACTGTCTTCTCACTTTTATTTATTTATTTATTTTTTAAACTCAGGTAATTTCCCTTGGAGCTCAGGTAATTTTCTTTTAAAGTATTCTTATTACTTTTGCTAAATTCTGATTTTTTTTTTTTTTTTTTTTTTTTTTTTTTGAGACGAAGTCTTGCCCTGTCACCCAGGCTGGAGTGCAGTGGTGTGATCTCAGCTCACTGCAACCTCCGCCTCCTGGGTTCAGACAATTCTCCTGCCTCAGTCTCCCAAGCAACTGGGATTACAGTTGCCTCCCACCACGCCCAGCTGATTTTTGTATTTTTAGTTGTGACGGGATACCACCATGTTGGTCAGGCTGGTCTCGAACTCCTGACCTTGTGATCCACCTGCCTCAGCCTCCCAAAGTGCTGGGATTACAGGCCTGAGCCACCACGCCCAGCCTATCTGTGATTTTTTGTTTGACATTATTGATAATGTAAACTTTGGGAGTTAAAAGTGCAGGGAGAATCACTAATAGGTCAGAGATTCTTTGACTCAAGTATTGAAACAGATTCCCAGAATATTGGCAAAGTCTCTAGCTGTTTGATAAGTAGAGATGAACTCAGACTGAATCCTGGCATCCCTTCCTCTGTGGTTTTCACAGGAAATCTTCGTTTTGACTCATTATTACTCACCACTTTGCTTATGTCGTGCCCATCTTGTTAACAAAATAGCCAGGATGGCAAGTCCCAGGAGAGTCAGGATGACAGCCAAAATTATTTCTGAAAACAAAAACTCACCTGTAAACATGCTTATTTAGACCAGGAAATTACCAGAAACAACTTCTGATCACCTCTTACTATCCACCAGATAGACTTTTTTTTCTTTCCCCTTTCTGCTGCTTCAACTCCTTTATTCATTTATTTGCCTGGTATTGCTGTCCTCACATTCCTGCCCCTGCCCATTTTTAGCTCTTACATTGGTTCTTTGGTCACATGCTAAGAACCTCAGATGCTGTGTACCCTTGGTGTAGAGTCAACAAGCTGACAGATTTCCTCCTCAATTGAACCCTTTACTCCCCAGGCAGGAAGAATGTTAAAGGGAATCAGTGGTCTACGAAGCTATCCACTGCGGTATGGGGAAAATACTAGAACTTCTATTTTCTGTGTAATTTTAACTCATACCTTTAAAGTTGCAAGATTTTCTGTATATATATAGCTATATATGTGTATATAGTGTATAGTATATATAGTGTATATAGTATATAGTGTATACTATATAGTATATAGTGTATAGTGTATATGTATATAGTGTATAGTGTATATATAGTGTATATAGTATAGCTATATATGTGTATATATAGCTATATGTGTGTGTATATATAGCTAGATATGTATATATGTGTATATATAGCTATATATACATATAGCTGTGAATTCATAACATTTATAAATATACTTGCATAGGAAATGTATACTCCAAACGTTTTTATGAGTGAGTGATAAAAAACTTTCAGCACCCTGACTAAAGGATGCTGACTCAAAATGGTTTTATTAATGAAAGCCACAGCAAAGGACAGAAATTTCTTATCACAGAAAAACCTTTCAGTCATCTCTCGCCAACCTCCTCATGATAAGATGGATATTTGTGAGGTTTGTTGTTGTGGTTGGTAGGATAAAACATGCAGGGATTGCTTAACTTGTGTTTGTTTATCTGTCATTGATTTGCATTCAATTGATGTAAGATAGAGTCTTGCAGTCGTAGGAAAGAAAAATCTTAGTATCATATGGTTATAAAGGGCAGTGGCTATGAAGGATCTGGGGGGAGAAAAAAAGAAGAGAGACAGAGAAAGAGAGAGAGAGAGAGAGAAAGGAAAGAAGAAAAAACCAACCATAAATCTCCCTGTGAAAGTAAAAACTCTGAAGAATATTGAACTCTGAAAGACTAAGAAAGTAGATTATACGCACATTAAAACTACTTCAAACAAACAATAGGTGAATCCATCTCAAGATGTAATAACACACCTCCAATCAGGGCAGATTAGGCATTTCTCTACTAAGTCTTCTAAGTATTTGGTCCTGTGAGAAAATTCTCCTGCCAAATCAACTTTTGGAGATTTTCTTCTAATGTACCACTAAAATGAACAGCAAGTAATCAATATGGCCTCTATTATGTGAACTTTTTTTTCCCTAGTTTTAAATAACTCATCGGGGAGGGAAGGATAACTAGGTGATGTACTCAGTACTACTGTATACTCCCTTTCTTCCTTTAGTGTCTGAAATGCCCCGTCTATAGGGCAGTTAGAAGATGGTCCCCCCCATTAATAGGGAAAATGAGAGGAAATTATTATTTCTGAGTTGAGGTAGATAAGAGAATGACCATACTACAAGAAGTGAGATAATGGGCTAAGGAATTTTCCTAGTGCTGTGGAGGATGGTTATTTTCTTTGTTCAGTTTAAACTCTAGAAACCAGAGGAAAAACCAGCACGATCAGCCTACAGCTTAGTTAACTGTGGGTTGTTTCCCCCAGGCTTCCAGAGGAATCAATAAGACTGAAAGAAAAAATATTGAATTTGAAAAGGAAGCAGGCAAGGAAGATAAAGCAGTCGTGTTAAAGTCCCTGAGTCCCTAAGAGGAGACTCCTGAACCGTTAGAGTCAAGAAAGCCTCAAAGAGGGAGTTAGTCCATACCCAAGACTGTCATTTTCCATGTATTGTCTTCAGCAGGTCTCGCATCATTTGGATTTCTTTGTCAGAGAGAGATCAAGATGAAACGAAAAACTCAAGTTCACTGTTTCTGAGCAATATGAACTTGGGTGTCAGGGAGGCCCTTGTAGGCAGAGATGCAGAGGATCACTGAGAAATTGTGTGGAGCAGATTGATCAGACCTAAGCAAATGATGGGAGTGTGGCCTGTGAAGGTTCTGGAATCTGTGTCATAACAGAGACTTAGAACATCAGCGAGGCAGGAGAAAAGGCAGAGGAGGATCAAAAGGCTA